GGGATGAGATGACATGGGGTGGGATGGGATAGGATGGATGGAGTAGGATATGGGATGGGAAAGGATGGAATGGGATGAGAAGGATGGGATGGGATGGATGGGGTAAGATATGGGATGAGATGTGATAGGATATGGGATGGGATTGGATGGATGGGAGGGGATGGGGTGGATGGAATGGGGTGGGATGGATGGGATGGGATGGGATGTATGGGGTAGGATATGGGAGAGGATGGGAAGAGATGGGATGGATGGGATAGGATATGGGGTGGGATAGGATGGGTGGGATGGGATGGAATGGGATGGGATGAGATGGGGCTCACTATGGAGAAGCTGTGGGCAGCAGGGGTAGAAGCAGGAAACCTGGTCAGGAGGGTACTGAGTCACTTGGGTAAGAGATAGTGGTGGCTCAGAGCAGGGTGGTGGCAATGAGGTGCTGAGTGGAGGTTCAGTTCTGGATGTGTTTGGAAGGTGGAACCAAAGGATTTGGGATGAACTAGATATGAGGTGTGGGAGAAGGAGAAGAGTCAAGGGTGGCATCAGGTTCGGGCCTGAGCCTTTGGGAGCCAGGTGTGCAATGTACTGATCTGGAAAGACTGTGAGGGAAGTAGGTTCTTGAGGGAAAGGGGTTGGAAGTCCAGAATCTCATTTTGACCATGGGAAATTCGAGATGCCTATTTGTAATTAGTTGGATATGCGGGTTTAGTTTAGGGAAGAGGTCCATGGTAGGCATAAAATGTGGGAGTTGCCAACAGAAGCTAGGGGACTGGATGAGGTCTCCAAGGGAGGGAGTGTGGAAGGAAAGGGGCCAAGGCCCCGGGGCTGAGCCACAGGCACTCAAAATCTGGAAGTCAGGAAAGAGAAGGACCAGCAGAGGAGTCCAGAAGGAGCAGCCAGCAGGGTGGGAGGAGGGCCGGGAGGCTGAGGCTGGAGGAAGGGGTTAACTTGCCAGATGCCACTGATGAGGCAGGTAAGATGCAGTTTGCGGGTGCATGACTGGATCCAGCGTTGTGGAGCTCATCGGTGACCTTGACTCAGCCTGGAGATGGGGCACAGGCGAGGCTTCTTAGGTGGGGTTGGGCTGGGCTGAGCCAGGCAGAGAGAGCTCCACACTTCTGCTCATCCCTCTCTTAAAAGGAAAGTGGGTTAGGCCGGAAGTACACGCCAGTCATTTGGCAATTCCAGACATGTCCTGGAGGCATCCCCACTCACCTCCCTGGAGTTCTGCCAAGAACCTCAATGGGCACTTCTGTCTCCTCAGAGGGATGCCTGACACATGCTCATTAAGGACATTCATGTGTTTGGAGTCACGGGCTTCACCCAGGGGGACAGCAAGGTCCCTAAAGCAGAGCTCTGGCTACGGACTCCAGCATACAGAGGTCCCATGGGGATCAGGTCTCCAAAAGCCAGATTGGGTGGCCTGGGGTATCTTCAAGGTTGATGACAGTAGTGAGATCCATAAGCACTTCCTGGGGCCTCTGATGTGCGAAGCAGCGTGGGGGCATGCCTGCATCACTGCCTTTTCTTCCCACTTTGTAGCCAAGAAGGGTTGGAGAGGTGATGTATCTTGTCCACAGCCTCCCACCAAGAGGGATCTGGGATTCGAACCCAGATCTGGGGATTCTCAATTAGTGCCTCTGCCTGTGGCCTCAGGGACCTACTGAAGGGAATTTGGAACTCTTTCCCAGAGGCCTCATGGGTCATATCCTAACGGGGAGGTGCTGAGACTCGTTGCCCAGAGCAAGGGAAGGAGGTCTGGCCTATGGCCAGCCCCTGATCAGGCCCAGGAGCCCCAGAGCTGTTCTCTGTCAGGCCAGCAGGCCAGTGTGACAGGAAGAACCCCCATTGTCAGCCTGCTCGCTAAAAGAGGCACAGATAGGCAAGGCGTATGTAAGATGACCTAGGCGCCTGTGGGTTCTTTGTCCTTTTGAGGGGCTGAGGCTTCTCATCACAGACCCTACCCTCTGGGAACTCAGGACCCATGCAGGGTAGCCAATAATCACTTCCTGGCCATCCTCCATGTACCATGGGAGTAGAGCAGGATCCAGGTTATAGGGGCCAAAGTGGAAGGTCAGGGAGGGCTTCCTGCAGCTTCTGGGAAACTAGTGAGCTGAGGAGACACCTGACACAGTGAGGGACATGGGCCCCCGAGCAGACTGTGTTTCCTTAGGCCTTTGCAAATGTGCGGGATGTGTCCACCCTGCCCAGCAACGCCTCTGCCAAAGTCTGGGTTGAGCCAGCCCTCTGCTGCCCCCTAGCTCAGTGGCCTGACCTGGTGAAGGGGGAAACTGAGGCCCAGAAGGGCAGCACTAGCCTGAGGTCACACAGCTGACTGCTGAAAGTGTTTCTAGGGATGAGGGGTGGTGCCAGCAGCCTGGCTTGACAGGACCTCCCTGTCCCCCTCCCCGAATCAGACTCTGGACCTTCCACCCACACGCACCGAGGGCAGTTGGCTCTTTCCACCAACATGACCTCCACCGTCCACCCTTGCGACCTCCATGGTCGGCCACTGCCTCCCAAAAATAGGTCAGCGCGCACCGCAACAGCCAGAAGAACAATGGCCCTTTCTTCGTTCCTCCACGGAGCTGAGTAAGCCCCATCAGGCCAAACATCTTAATGTGATAAAAGCCACCCGGTGTGGGCTGAGGGAAGAGGGGCGGGAGGAGACTGAAGGGGGGCTTCCTGGTGGGGGACTCACATCCTCACCCACCTGTGCTGGCGCTGTGGCCCTGCGAGGACCCACTGGGTGGGTGGGAATGTGGAGACCCTGGAACCTGCATTTCCCCAGCCCACTGTCAGCAGACATCTGACCAGGCGCATGGTAGTCTCTCCCTGCCCAGCCCATGCTCCCCACTTCCTGCCCCTCCGCCTCTTTCTCCAGAGCAGGCTTCCCCAAGGTCTGGGCTCGTCCACTACTGTGTCCTGAGGCCAGCAAAGCTGATCCTGCTGGGCCTGAACACAAGGGCTGAGAAGGGAGGCCTGAACCCACCACCACTGGGAGCGCTGGGCAGGCACCCCTGCCATATCCCTCACAGCTCTGTGGTCCCTTCGCCATGCCTCGTGGAATCATTCAGATGCTGGAGGCCCCACCCCTGCCCCCAGCGTCCTCCTCCTTGCCCTCTACTGCCCACCCAAGCCCACAGCCCCTGTGGATCCTTGCAGAGCCCCACCCAGCCCATGTGGTGCCCAGAGCAGCCAGTGGACTTCAGTGGGTTTTCTGCCACCTTCCAGCACAAACCCGGGGGAAGGTGCTAGAGGTTGTCCAGGCCCACAGGGAGAAGCCCGCAAAGACCTCAGAGGCACCAACTGACACACGTGTTCCGTTGAGCCATGTGGGGAGAAGTCTTGCACTGTAGGCTGAGGCCATGTGTCCAAACAAAATGATCCCCTGGCCCATCCCCCAGGGCCAGCATTGGAGTCTCCCGCTACTGAGCACAGACTAGTGATGTGTCCCTTTTCAGACCCCAGCTTTAGAGGACAAGATGCCAGGTGTAGCTTCCCAAGGGCTATGCCCATGAGGCCCTACTGTGCTGAACTGTATAGAGCGCTGGGGTCCCCATGGGCTGGGTTGCTCGGGTCCCTGGATGTCCCCAGCCTGAATGCACCCAGCAACTTCCAAGGCCACCCAGCCCCCGCTGGCTTCCAACCTCACTGGCTTTTGGCAAATCCCACTCCACCAGGTCCTGAGAACAGAGGCCCTGCTGCTGGATAGAGCGAACTCAAAGACCCTTTAGAAAGCTGACCCAGGCCCCAGGCCCCCCGGGTAGATACGGGAGGCGGCTCCTCTCCCCCTGGAAGCTGGCTGAGGGCACAGCTTACCTCTGGGGGCTGGGGGACAGGAATTCTTTCGTCCTTATCTGGATGTATTTAGGGCTCCTGGGATGTGACTGGAAAACCAAGTGGGGCACCGTGGCCGTCCAGACTGGAAATCTGTGTCGGCCGGGGGCGGGGTGGGGGGTAGCACCGTGGACAAGGAATGCATGCAGATTGGTGGCCACAGCTGTGTCCTTGGCCAGACCCGCCTGTGGGCCTGGCAGGTGGAACAGGCAGGCTCTGCCCTGATGGGTGTGCACTGTCCCACAGGACCTGGCAGGTGGGGGTGATCCTGTTGAGGGGCTGAGCCCCAGCTCCTAGCAGGGTTGCTTTTTTATTCTTGTGGCCTGCGCATTCTGGGATTATTTCCTCTTGGGCAGGCCCTTGTGCAAATCACCAGTGATGTGACCTAATTTATTTGCACAGATGGTGAGACCCAGGTCACCCAGAACGTTGCCCTTTTTGCCCTAACTGCCAGGGAGCTCACAGCTCAGTGGGTATTCAGAGCCTTGTTCATCCTGAGAACCTGCTCTGCAGACCACACCTTGGCCCTCTGAGCATTTTGATTGAGTGTTCCCAGACACCATGAATCAACAGAGCACCCCCTGACACCTACCACACTCCGCAAGACTCAGAGTCATCCCCAAGGACAGGGCAGGCTTCTGTGACCAAGGCAGATTCCACTGGCCTCTGAGCCTCAGAGGCTGGCCACTCCCCTCCTCTTCCAGGAGAGTCGAATAGAGAAAGCTGCCCCACTTCACAGATGAGAAAATCAGTCTTTCAGGCCAAGGTATTGGTGCCACTTTGGACATCAGGCCTTTCACTCATCCATTAGTTTACTCAACAGCTGTGTATTGAGCACTTACTACATACCGGGAGTTGGAGGTGAACCCAAGCAGGTACAGCTGCAGAGAGTACACAGAACCACGCCAAAAATGCTAGGTACATCTGGATACAGCTGTAAGTGAGCAGAGGGCTTCCTAGATTCCTTGCCGAATCCTCACGATAGCCTCTTGTATAGACGGATCTTGAAAGGTGACCTGAGCGCCAGCTGGGCTTTCCCCTGGGATTAGAGCAGCGACTCCTCTTTGCAACCAGTAGGCTGTCTCAAGGGAGAGGCGGTCTGTGTCCAGACCCCAGGCTGGCCGGGTCTCTGCCAGCCTGCCCTTGCCCACCCGATTCCTTCAGCGATGGCTGCTGACCAACCCCCGGTCCTGAAAGTGCACCAGTTCTTCCCCCTCACCCCGCCGGCCCTTGCCCAGGACCTGACACATTTTAACAGTGCCGGGAAACAAGGTCTCTTCAGAGTCTTTGTCCGCAGTCTGGGCCTTAGGTCAGGGATGAGCCCAGGGAGCAGGTTTCCCTTTAAGGAAAGGGGAGAGAGAAGATAAAGTACGGGACAAGGTCTGGGGAAGGACAGGACTGTGACATGGGAGGAGGACCCCAAACCGGCATGGTCAAGGAGGGCTTCGTGGAGGTGGTGCCACTCCCCGAGCTACTCCATGAGTTTGGACTTTGGCCAATGGGAAAGTAGCAGGACAGTGTCATGGTCAAGGTCTTGCTTTAGGAGGCCAGCTCTAGCCAGCAGGTTGGAGGCTGACAAGTCTGGAGGCTTCGGCCAGGGCCAAGGGGCTGAGCCTGGGCCCTGTGGGGATGCACAGGAAGGCTGCCAGTCTGCCACCGCTCGGGTGATGGAGCTTCCTTGCCTGTGCTTCCCCACCTGGTGGGAGTAAATGGGGTGGGGGTGGGGGGTGCAGAAGAACTCAGAACAGGACTCATCCCTGAATTGCAAGGACAAGGCCAGGGCCTGGAGAAGGGGGGATAACGAGCCCAGAGTGGGGATTGCAAGGTCTGAGGTGCCCAGTGGCATCCATTTGCTTCCAGGCTCACCTTCCCCCTCCTCCTTCTCCAGGGAGCAGCCCAGGCTCCCTTCCTCACTGTAGCATCTGGAAGCCTGAGGAGAAGGCTGGGCTAAGGGGACCCCAGACCTGATGCCTCCCCATCTCTCCCGACCCCAGGGAACATCATCGGTTCGGGCATTTTCATCTCCCCCAAGGGGGTCCTGGAGCACTCGGGCTCTGTGGGTCTGGCCCTCTTCGTCTGGGTCCTGGGTGGAGGCGTCACTGCCCTGGGTTCCCTCTGTTACGCGGAGCTGGGAGTCGCCATCCCCAAGTCTGGCGGGGACTATGCCTATGTCACCGAGATCTTCGGGGGCCTGGCTGGGTGAGTCTGGGGCACCCGTGGGGTCAGTGGGGGAGGGCATGACAATCCGGAATGGATGGCCAGTGGGGCCCTGGACTTTGGTTTCCTCTTTTTCTCATATCTCAGGGAGATCATGGGGTGGATGGAGGGAAGGAGGTGGGGGTGTTGGGGAGCCTTCCAAGGCCACGGTGGGCAGGACACTCCGGCTGGCCCCCTGACCTCTCTGTGCTTCCTTTCAAATATTTCCTTAAGCCTAATCTGCACCTGGGTGAGGCTAGCAATAAGGCAAGGACAGCCTAGATTTTAGTAAACCCGTATGTGTGTGGTGGGGGACAGGGGGCATGATAACTCCTATCAATGCCCTGCAAGAGCTCTCCTTTGAAGAGCTCCCCAGCATTCCTTTATGCACCAGTAAGCATTAGCTGAGCACCTACTATGTGAGAAAAGATCCATTCCTGCCCTCAAGTTATTCACAGTGCAGAAGGGAAAGAGCCCCTCTACACTTGATGAGGACCTAGATCCTTGCTTTGAGGGTGTGCTTGGGGGGCCCAGCAGCTAAGGGAATGGGTGTCACCACCTCAGAAGGTTTCCAGGGAAAACACATTTGCACCAAGGCTTGGAGGGTGTGCTTGACTATCTGGTGTGGCCGGAGGCAGGTCAGATCCATGGTAGGTGTAGGGGCTTGGAGGCGCTGGGGGAGCCTGGGGGCGGGGTGGGGGGTCAAAGCTATTGTAGTTGTCCAGCTGAACCATACCGAGGGCCTGAATAAAGACATAGGAATATCCCAGAACCTTGTGGGAGCTTAAATGCGGAAGACGCGGTGGCCAGTGTGGCATGAAGGAGAGGTGGGTACAGCAGAGGTGACACCCGCTTTCCCACTGGTGGGCTCCATTGACAGCAGTTCCCAGGAGGGGGAGGTTGGGGGTAGGCTGCCACGCTGGTGGGGTCTGCGGCATATCCGGGGAGATGATGTAGTCAGTCCTTGCGGGGCAGTTGTCCGGATCCCAGAGGAAAAGTCTAGGCTAAAGTGTGCAAAATTTGGTCCTGAGGGATGTGGTCCAGAGCCTTTAATGGGGTAGTGGCAGACGGGGCCCTGGCAGGGCGTGCACACCCCTGTGGGTGTGCCCATGAGTTCTCTGCTCTGGGGAGAGGGTTCTTGGAGGCAACTGGGACCTGAGAAAGAAGAAGGTGGGCGGGAGAGGAGGACCCAAGACCCTGCCCCAGGGGCACCTAGCTTCTAGGGTTGCAGACGCCACAGAGTAAAGGTGAGGACCAAGACGAATCTACAGAGCATGGTGGTCCAGAGGTCAGTGGTGTCCCTGGATGAGGCAGTCCCCACCCTCAAGGTCCAGGAGCATCCCCAGAGACAGGCCCTCCCCTGAGTGCAGGCAGGACCCCCCCGGAATAGGTTGGGCCTCATAGCCTGAGCAGAGTCCCTGCTCCCATGTGGGCACCCTGCGGTGCTGAGATTCGGGCAGAAGGGACATAAATCGTTCCCAACCCCCAGCCACAGCTCCTCAGAAGGTCCGGTCCCTCAGGGGTCACAGCTCAGAGCCAGCTACCTGCAGCCATAGGCTCTGCTGAGAGCTCCAGCTGGAGCCGTAACTAAAGGTTCCAGAACAGCTCCGGCTCAGGAAAACAGCCTGTGACCAGAGGCTAGATGGCCATTAGAAAGGTGGTTGGTTCCCAAGTCCTTCTGGACACCTGCCCAAGGGCAGCCCATAGCTGTTTGACTGTGCTGAATGCTGTCTCTGTTGAAGCGGTCCATTAATAGAGTGGAGACCCCAGTGGGGCCAGCCCTGCCTTCCTGGACCGAAGCCGGCATTGAGTGCCCATGCCAGCCTTGGGTGCCACGGCCCAGGGTGCAGCCCTGCTCCCACACCTGCACCTGCTCGGCCAAGGTGGCGGGGAGGCGGGGTGGTGCGGGATGCCTGTGCCAGGCAGGCCCTCACTCATTCCAGCTTCCTGCTGCTCTGGAGTGCGGTCCTCATCATGTACCCAACCAGCCTGGCTGTCATCTCCATGACCTTCTCTAACTACGTGCTGCAGCCCGTGTTCCCCAACTGCATCCCCCCAGCTGCTGCCTCCCGCGCACTCTCTATGGCCTGCCTGAGTGAGCGCCCACCTTGGGGCCGCACTATGCCCCCTGCCCCTGTGTGGGAGGACTGCGGGGGCGTGTGGGGGGGTGTGCCTCCAGCCTCCAGCCCCCTGTGAGCTCAGCCTCAGGGGGTGGGCTTCTGGCACCCCAGCTGCTACAGGGGATGCCGCCCTCCTACAGCCTGGGCTGGACTCGGCTGAGGCCCACCCACCCACTCTCCTTTCCTCTCAGTGCTCCTGACATGGGTGAACAGCTCCAGCGTGCGCTGGGCCACACGCATCCAGGACATCTTCACCGGTGGGAAGCTGCTGGCCCTGTCCCTCATCATTGGCGTGGGCTTCGTCCAGATCTTCCAAGGTAGGGCCTGGGTGGGGCCGTGCACCAGGGTGGGGAGAGGACACTGACCCTTGACCTGTGGACCCCCCAGGACACTTTGAGGAGCTGACACCCAGCAATGCCTTTGACTTCTGGATGACACCCTCCGTGGGTCACCTGGCCCTGGCCTTCCTCCAGGGCTCCTTTGCCTTCAGTGGCTGGAACTTCCTCAACTACGTCACTGAGGAGCTGGTTGACCCTCGAAAGTGAGTAGGACACCCAGCCGGGCCCTGGGAAGGGGAGGGGTGCGGCGATGGGAGAGGCAGCCTCTCTGCACGGACCTGCTGCCACCTGTGGCTCAGTCTGGTCACCTGCCTGACCATGCTGCTGCCCCACGGGGATGGCTCTGGAAAGACAGCCGGGACACTGTTCCAGCCTGGCCCTGCTCTGCATGGCTGTGGGTGAGTCACGGCCCCTTGCCGGGCCTCAGAAACACTGAGTATCACTGTCCCACTGAAAATGGATCCAGCTATTTGCATTTGGCCAAAACTTACACATGTGCACATAACACGGTCCCTACTGATAAAGCCCATGGCTCATCCGATACTCACCCAGGGTTGCAACAGAGAGGAGTTTGCGCTGGGGCGGGGGCTGGGGCTGATAGGGAGTCCCAGGAGACCCCTGGTCTAGGGACTGGGCCCCGGGGGGATTTGGGGATCTTCAAGGCTGATTTTGCCTGTATTCACTTTTCTCTTTATGTCCTGACATTAGACCTGCCCCTCAAGGTTTGATGTGTCCCCTCCCCCATGTGCCCTTCCTCCCACCAGCCCGTGGCCCAGCTGGGGCTGGGGGGTGGCAGGGAGACAGCAGTGCTGCCCCTTATCTGTCCCAAGTCCCCCAGCAGACCCAGGAGATGGAGACTCAAAGCTCCTCCCTCGCTGGGGTCCCTGGGCCCCATCTTCCAGCCCCCACCCCAGGGCTGATGCTGACACACTTCTCCACTGCCCCCAGGAACCTACCTCGTGCCATTGTCATCTCCATCCCGCTGGTGACCTTTGTGTACACCTTCACCAATGTTGCCTACTTCACCGCCATGTCCCCCCAGGAGCTGCTGGCCTCGAACGCAGTGGCCGTGGTGAGTGGGGTCCCACTGGTACCCGGCTCCTGCCCGTCCCGCCATGCCTCACGCACCACCTCTTTTCTGTGTCCACTCAGACCTTCGGGGAGAAGCTGCTGGGCTACTTTTCTTGGGTCATGCCCGTCTCCGTGGCACTTTCTACTTTTGGAGGGATCAATGGCTACCTGTTCACCTCCTCCAGGTGACTGGACTGGGTGGGGAGGGGTCAAGGTGAGGCAAGGCAGGTTCCCCTGGTGTGTGTGATCAGTACTGGGGGCCAGAGGAAGTCAAATCCTGCCAGGTGGGTCCCACCCGAAGCTGGGACAGTGAACCCCCCAGTAACAGATGTGATCCCAACTCAGCTACAGCAAGCAAAAGGGAGGCGGGCTAGACAGGGAAGAACTGGCCAGTGGGGCTGCTGGGACCCAGAGCAGGGGTCAGAGGTGACAGCTCAAGAGGGACCTCAGGTGTGGAGCTGAGGTCTAGGATCTGGTTGGTAGGGGGCCCAAGGCTGGGCTCATGGCCCCCACCAATCTCTGTCCCAGACTGTGCTTCTCTGGGGCCCGAGAGGGGCACCTGCCCAGCCTGCTGGCCATGATCCATGTCAGACACTGCACACCCATCCCTGCCCTCCTTGTCTGTGTAAGTTGTGGGACCAAGGCTGGCGGGGAGGGGAGCCGGGGCCACCCAGCAGTGTGGTAATGGCAGGGATTCCCACTGGCCCTGGGGGGCAGCCCACGGAGGGAGTGGGGAGGGCCGGGGCTCACCAACCTCCTGGCCTGAGCCGGCAGGCCCAGGACAGCCCACAGGGCTGATGGAGGCAGGTGGGAGGCCACCCTCAGCCCGGTCCTCTCCCAGTGCGGGGCCACAGCGGTCATCATGCTTGTGGGAGACACGTACACGCTCATCAACTACGTGTCCTTCATCAACTACCTCTGCTACGGTGTCACCATCCTGGGCCTTCTCGTTTTGCGCTGGAGGCGGCCAGCGCTCCACAGGCCCATCAAGGTGAGGCCTGGGGGAGGATGGGCTGGCTGGCGCTGTCAGAGCTGCCCCTTCACTCATTGGGCATGGGGGTGTGGGGTGGGGGTCAGGGTGGGAGTGATGACAGCATTAGGTATTCCGGCTTTGGCCACATGCTGCACCCTGCTCAAGGCTTTAAGTATGCTGATGTATTCAGCCTTCATCACAGCCCCACAAGGTGGGTGCTTTGAATATTCCCAGTTTACAGACAGGAAAATGAGGCTAAGACACAGAATTCCATGAGCACACACAAAGACAGAAGAGCCTTAATCAAGCTAAATGCAAATATTCTGTTTGCATATAAATCCTGGAGCTGGAGAAGTGCTCAGTGCCTAAAAAACATGAAACACTGAGAGAGAGAGAGAGAGAGAGAGAGAGAGAGAGAGAGAGAGAGAGACCTTCAGCCAAATGCAAGCAGCCAGCAACACCAGCAACACATAGTTACTGCATGGAACTCAGAGCCACCGAAACTTTGACAAACCCTCAACCATTTGGCAAAACGGCCATCCCATGAGTTTGTTTCTAGCATGTTTGGCTGCTGCCAGAGCAGGGGACCCTCAAGCCTCAGCTCCCAGGAAAGGGCGGCACCTCGGGATCCCCCTCCCCCCACCCCTACCGGGGTGGTGGGGCAGGAGGGCCCAGGGAAGGTCCTGCGCCTCCGTTGGCAGTCCCGTCGCTCTCCCCCAGGTGAACCTCCTGGTCCCCATCGCATACTTGGTTTTCTGGGCATTCCTGCTGGTCTTCAGCTTCATCTCGGAGCCCATGGTGTGTGGAGTCGGCGTCATCATCATCCTCACGGGGGTGCCTGTTTTCTTCCTGGGAGTGTTCTGGAGAAGCAAACCAAAGTGTGTGCACAGACTCACAGGTGAGCCAGGCAGCCTCCCCAAGGTGGCGGGGCCGGGAAACGTGACCTGTTAGGGACTCGCCCTGGAGCAGGACCTCCCAGCAGTTGCGGTGACAACAGGGGGTCCAATCGCCACCCGACATCTCCCCAAGATGTGGCCCCAGGGTCCAGGATCCACCCAAAGGGAGCGGCTCCCTGAGGACCCCTGCCCCACAGGCTCGGATCCCAAGGTCTATCTGTTTGTTTGTCTCTCTGTCCTCAGAATCCATGACACGCTGGGGCCAGGAGCTGTGCTTTGTGGTCTACCCCCAGGGAGCCCCTGAGGAAGAGGAAAATGGCCCGTGCCAGCCCTCCCCACTGCCCACCAGGGACAAGCCCTTGAAAACGCAATGAGACATTTGCGGAGCCTGAAGCAGCTGTTTCTGTTTACATGTTGTTTATTGAGGAGGTGTTTTTGCAAAATAAGTTGGGTTTTTTTTGTTTTTTTGTTTTGTCCTGAAAAAAAAGAGAGAGAGAGAGAAAGAGATCTGACTCCTTTGAGTCCTGTGCTGAGAGAGCCCTGGAGGTATTGGCTGGGCTCTCTGTCAGTGCTGCCCTGCTCACTTTCCTGGAAATGTCTATGAATAAAACAGGGTTGGTGGGCGGTGTGCTTGTCTTAGGCGAGTCCCTGGTGGGCATGACCCGGTGGGGCTTGTGTGGTGCTGGCTGAGGAAGGTGCCCCAGCAGGCTCTGGAGGGGGCCTATGGCTCTGCCACTTGAACCAGGCACTTCCTTTCTCCCTTGTGGGGTCCAGAGCCAGCCTTGACCCAAAGGGACACCGGGGTTGGGAAACACCTTGTGCGCCCCTCCCCGGGACCCGCAACGCCAGCTCTAGGCTCAACCACCGAGGTCGGTCCGGGTGTTTCTGCTGGAACTGCCTTTCCCTCAGCCCCATAAATCTCTGTGGAGTGACTGCCAGGACTTCAGAGCCCATGGCCTCACCCTGATTTACAGGGGAAACTGAGAGCCTGCGGCAGGATGGGATGGATTTAGCCACTGTCAGTTGGTGCTCGGCCACTGTCACCTGAGAAAGCATCCAGCAGCACCTCCCAGGGGCCTCAAGGCCTGCAAGAGACCATGGATTTCCTCTACCCTGTGCCCACATTCCCAGCCCTGCCCTCATGCCCAGGAGATTAACCCCTCAGCCAGAGGGCAAAGGGCATCTGCCTGGCCGGGCCTGTACTGACACCACAGGCATGAGGCTGGGGCCAGCAGCCTCCTAGCCTGCTCCTCTAGGGATGGCTGGGAGGATGGGGAGGGCTGAGCACTGACAGAGGGCCCCGCCATGGACTAGGTCTGTGGCACCCATAACCCTGCTCAGTCCAGCACAGCTCTGGCACCCTAGAGGGTGAATGAAGCAAGAAGCCACAGAGAACACTCCAGAGAGCCCTGCCCTAACTCTCCTGCTTCTTCAGAAATGGATTCCCAGAATGGAGAAAGAGGTAGAGTGAGACCCCAGGGTGCCTGCAGAGGGGCTCCTCACTCCACCCCGCTCCTCACTCAAACCCCCACAGCCCTGGCCCGCTGTGTCCACCAGGGCTGGGGGTGCCGATGCAGCAGGCTAGCTGGGCCTCTGGGTGGCTTCTCTGCAACAAAGAAGGACGCGGAGGCAGGGTAGAAACGACTGTGTATTCCCTGGTTACAAAGCGGGGCTGTGGCGGTCACCAGCATGTCCAGCAGGTCAGCAGACCAGCAGGGCCTCATCGTCACTGGCCTCCAACGTTGGGGAGCAGGGTGGTGGGGGACTCCTGCAGACACCCAATGGCTCTGGTGGGTGGGGGCCCAGGGTGCTACTGGCAGTGGGAGCCAGGGGGTGAGGGTCCTGGGCTGAGCAGGGCTCCCGAGGCGCTTCGGCAGGGGCCAGACTGTCCACCAAAGAGTCCCTGCAGGCCTTTCTGTCCTTGTCCCCCAGCCTGCACTCTGGGTCCCGCAGGCCGGAGGGGGGAGGCACAGCAGATCCCGCCTCTGATGCATGGCCTGGGACACTGGGGGGCCCATCCCCAGCCCCTACAGGGCTGCCTGTGTCCGTGAGGGGTGCTGGGGGATCTGGGGTGGTCCCCGGTGCAGGCTGGAGGAGCCCGTCCCCCAGCACCGTCTGTGAGGTGCGCGCAGCGGTCAGCAGTGGGATCTGTCCCCGCGGTGCCCGCGGCCGGTGAAAGAGCCGGTTCCAGAGGCGGCCGAGGCGGCGGCGGGAGGGCCCTCGGC